ACATCTATTTTTACACTTGAAGACAGAGTTAGCTCACCTGATTACTGCAAGAAAAGCTCATCTTGATAAGACAAATGCCTCAGATGAATTTAGGGGCCTCTCTAGGGTGATAATACGGTCCACGCATAGCTTCATGAGTAAGTGAATTGAGCATGAGTAGGTTAGAAAATTGTTTCCTTGTTTGCATATTAAGAACATTCTGTTAATTATTATTGATGTTAGGGTTAACATTTTCTCTTCTTTGTTTAAATATGTGTTGGTAACTCTAATGGTATGCTTCTCCACACTATAGTCAGAGAGCTTTAATGAGCTGACTCTGTTACTTTTCTTCCTTGAACTGGCTACTCTCTAGGGACAGTCTTTGCAGTACAATCTTAGGTTGCCCTTTTATGAAGATGAATACTTATTTTTGTTTTGAGAATGGTATGTAATTCCCATTGATTCAGGGGAAAGGGAAATATCAATCTGCCCAAGCCAGTCATTAAGCTAGGGAAATAAGTGTGCTAGAGACGTGACACAGTGATGAGGAGCACTTGCTACTTTTCAAGAGGCCTAGAATTCAGATCTCAACAACCACACTGGGCTATTCACAACCTCCTGTAACTCCACTTCCAGGAGATCTGACACCCTCTTCTGGAACCTGCATGAAAGTGCATGCTTACACACACGCACACATACACACACACACACACACACACACCTCAAAAAATTTTTTTAAAGCATTAAGATGATTTGTATGTTCAAAAAGCAAAATAAGAAATTGTACAAAATTAAATTTACTTTCTGCAAATTCAAATACACAATAGTCCACTTTCATCTATGTGGCATTGACTCAGGTCTTACTTATTGTTCAGGAAGCCAAACAAAAGCTTCCTGTATAATAAAAGCATAAAATAAGACAAAACACTATGGTATTCGAGGAAGCCAAATAAAGTCTTGAACAGATGTCACAAAGCCAGAATGAAAGCCTAACTAGAAGGCTGTGGAAGTCTCCTCACTCAGTACCCACTCACTTCTCTTTCATGTTCATGTGAGTAAATAGATATACTGAACTAACAGGGATACAGAAATTTAGGAACTGGCTCTGATGTTGCTCTGTGAACACGTCTTGCTGAGTTCCTACAGGGGCTCACATGCAGTTCAACTTAGTGTTCTGTAAGGGTGATGAGGGCCCTCTGCTTCATATGTGGACACTGGGCAGTTGACAGGCAAACTCATGTGGAGTTAAGGTTGTTTGTTCTCAGCGTTCCCTTTTGAGTTCTTTTCACTAGTAATAGTTTATTTTGTACTGTGTGTTACACATGGGCTCTTTAATCTGTTTCTCCTAAGTGCTCGGTTTAAATATGTGGAAACTGAGGTTTAGTGTGTATATGAATCAGCTCAGGCTGCTAGAAAATGACCAACATAGCAAATCCCATAGTATAAGATGCACCATACACTGGTGGCTGTACACAACAGATGTTTTTGTTTTCAGGGTTCTGGGGGCTTCAAAGTCCAAGATCAAGGTGCTTGATCCACTTGATACTGTGGATCTCTTCCTGCCTTTAGATGCTTGCTTTCTTACTGTGCCCACATGGAAAGAGACTTCTCTGATGTCTGTTAGACCAGGGTTCCACCCTGTTGACCTCAGATGACCTTGATTACCTCTTTACCCAGTGACAGTCTACACTGGAGGTTAGGGCTTCAACAGCTGCACATGGTGGAAACACTCTTTAGTATCTATTCTTAAACCATGAAAGTCAGAATTTGAATCTAGGGCATCTGGCATCAGAGCAGTGGAGTCAATATTCTTGTTGTTTTCATAGAGGGTTAGCAGGCTGACCACAGTTTCTTGAAGAACTTCCTACCTTTCTGTCTGTGTTCTGGAGTCAGCACATCTTACCTGCCTCTACTAAATCTTCCCATGTCCATCAGGGTTCACTTCATTTATACTAAGGATGGATTTCTACATATAAACAAAATACTCCATGTAAGAGGATTGGTTGCCTCTAGACAATGGAAAGTTAGGTTTTGGAGTACATGGCAGGCAATCTTTTAAAGAGATCTGTTCTCACACTCGGGGCATCCTTAAGGAGCACAATAGTTGCTTTGGAATGACTTCCTTCTTTTCTTTCTTTCTTTCTTTTTTCTTTCTCTCTGTTTCTTAGGTTGGTTTAGGAAATTACTGCTTAATTAATTTTAAAAATATAATTCCTTTCTTATTTTTATTGACAGACATTTCTTTCACAATTTTTGCATATAAAACATAAATATAGAGTTAAAAGATGTTTTTTGATCATAAGAAAGTGAGAGAACATGATGGATTGACATAGAAGCAGTCTTTATGTGTCTAGATATGACTCACATATAGTATTTCGGTCTTAAAGGAATGATCTTAAAAAATAAGATGGGCCCCTTCAGAGATAAGTGAGAAAAGAACTCGGATGTCTCATGGACCCCAAACTGATAGCTGAGAGGCCAGCATGGGACTGATCCAGAGCCCCTGAACATGGGTGTCAGTGAGGAGGCCTCAGCAATCTATGGGGCCTCCAGTAGTAAGTCTGCATTTATCCCTGGAGTACAATGGACTTTGGGAGCCCATTCCACGTGGAGGGATGCTCTCTCAGCCTAGACACATGGGGGAAGGCCTAGGCCCTACCCTAGATGATATGACAGATTTTGGGGATCCCCCATGGAGGGCCTCACCCTCCCTGGGGAGCAGAGAGGAATGGGGGTTGGGGGGACTGGTGGCGAGCGGGGAAGGAGAGGAGGGAGAGGGAGCTGGGATTGACACGGAAAGCAGGCTTGTTTCTAGTTTAAACAAAAATAAATAAAAAAAAAGAACTCGTGATGTGTCCATTTTGTCCCATGTGAGGCACACCCGAGCCCTGCATGGTGGACAGCTTGACTAAATCATCTTCAGCATCCCCTCCTCACAGTAATGTAGAGGCTGAAGGGGGATAGGAAGCAGGCACTCACTATACTCCGAAAGTAAATCCTAGAGGACAAAAAACAACAACAAAGAACTTCTGGAATCTAAATAGTAAAACACCTGTGTGAGACAACAATGTGAGGAAAAGCTACATTGTCATTGAGAGATTGGTGCTTTACTGCATTGTATTACAATTGGCACTTCTGATCAGGATGTAACTTACAATATGTAATGCCATGCTGTATTACAATTGTTACAATATGTAAGGCTTGACACAGGCCTTAAGAGTTAGAACAGAGAGCAGAGCCATAAGAACTGGCCAGTTCACAAACACATAATCAGCGGGTGTAAGCTGACTGATGTGTTATGGGCAGGGAGCAGACCTACCTTTGCCTGATATTTATATTCATGGAGTATGCAAGTAAGTATACTTATTAAATGACTCAGCTTGTTAAATGCATTTCATAACTCATATAGTGAAAAATGCTTCCTCGTTTCTCCAGTTAATCATTAAGGTCTGTAGTCCACAGGCTAATATCTTGTAACACTGAACTCATATAATTTTAGTTTCCATCTATAAATCTAGGCTTGATTTGAAATTGTTTTGAGATACTAACACACTTACCCAACTGTAAAATTTCTAGAGGACAAAGGATTCATGTTATCCATTAATTGTGTTACATGCTCCATAACTTCTCTAATATCCCTTTCTAACACACACACACACACACACACACACACACACACATTTGTAGTATGCACTTACATAGGTGCACTTGCACTACATGAATACTTTTATGATCCATTGTTTAGCTACTGAAGTCACTGCCACTCCCTCTTGAATTATACTTCCCTGTCCCTTAAAGGGGTGTGTTTGTAAATTCTGACTTGTGTTTTGTATGTTTTGGTGGACACCACTTTGTTTCTATCTTAACACAGTCCCAACAGTAAGGAGTCATGCGATGGTATGGCTTCACCATTTCCTTACTTGACTCCCTCTTTAGATTAACTCTGAAGACTTTATAATTCACATTGGGCAAGTTCTGCTTGAGCTGAAATCACCTTGACTTCTAGAACACACATTCCATTCTAGCTGGAAGCTTTTCTAATTCTTGTAAACTGTGCTAGTGACCTTCCAAATGACTGTTAGATGCATGTTTGACTTCTGTGCTGTTTAAAACTTCTCCTTTTTTACTTTTGTTTTGATTCTACCTTCGACTTTCCTACTCTGCTTCTCTGCGAAACAAGTTCTCTACAAATGACTCAAATTAAAAAAAAAATTAAAACAGCAACTGTTTTCAAGTACTCTGTGATAGCACACTGCAACAATGGGGCATCCTGTGCTATCTTAGCTTGCCTAGTCCCTTCTTGCCCACCCATTATTTCCCACAATGCTGAAGCTATGTTCAGTCCCTGATATGACAAACATTCTGCACTGTATATGCTGCCTTTCGCTACCTCATTATGCCCCTAAAGATGATGGATAATTTAAGTAAGGGCAGAGCAGAATAAAGGCAACCAGGTGGACATCAAGGGGCTACAGCCCAAGCGATAGATTGTCTTCCTGATGAACTTTAATGGATTAGGGTGCACTTCAGGGAAGGAATACTACAAGGACTTTAAGGAGAACAGTATGACCAGCATGTGTGATGCTTACACATGTATTGTGTGCAGTCTACCTTGTGCACTTGTGGAGAGGAAACAAACGACAAAACTTGAGCAAGGTTCTTTTTCCTTTCTTTTTAAAAGTGAAAAATTCTGTTTTGGATACACCTAAGTATAGAGTATCAAATTCTAAGTGTTCTGGTTGTTGGAGGGAGAACAAAGCAAACTGATCTCCCCCATCCCTGCCTTTTTTAATTGTGAAAAAGGAGCATGAGCCTCTCTCAGGAGCCCTTGGGAGTGGGAGTGAACTCCTAGATAGGGTTTGTGTAACTGTACCTCAAACCACAGTAGTCACGTGGGTCCTCTCTGCTTTGCTACTTTTTTGTCTGCGTGAGAGGGTTGTGCATTTTGCTTCCCCCATCCTGCAAGGCCGCTGCAGCATGTGCTGGCGGGATTAATCTTTGTGCACAATGTCTTTGCAAAGGCTTCTACAGCAGCAGAACGGCAATGGCAACTTGGAGTACTATGTTGACTCTGTGTACAGCTCCTACTCCACACTCATGGGACCACTCACGATGGAAGACAGCAGAAGGGTTCAAATGCTGGCAGACACTGTGGCTACTTTGCCTCGGGGACGAAAGCAGGTATGATAGCCCTTCTGCTAGAATATTCATGTTTGTCTGACTACTGCCGAAAGTGGTGCTTGCTCTTGCCTGTGTGGCTCCATGAATTCCTTGACTCCTGGTCTCACTCCCCAACCTTAATAGGCATTTTGGTTCTTATTCAAAAGAGAATTTCTTTTCCCCTTTGATGACAGCCTCTGCCTACTAAGTCAATTCACTTAGGAGTTAATTAATGACTGAGCGAGTATGTGTGAGGAAGGAGGTGACAGGTCCCAAAGAGATAGAGTAGCAGTCCGGAGATGAAAACAACAGTCACTTTAAAAAAAAAAAAAGTAAAACTTAAGTATTTCTTTTTAGTTTAAGGATGTGCTCAACTTAATGAAACTTTTTGAGCACAACAAACTTGAAGATTGTTAATAGGAATGCATCCAGCACCATCAGGCTTAAGCCCTCTGTGTCTCTGTTGACTCTCTCCCTTCTAGTCTTACCTCCACGCCTTGGTAGTCCTATTAGTTCCCAATCAAGAGAAGATGTCTCCTGAAACACAAAGGTTATCATCTAAGTAAATTCTCCAGCTCCAGAGCATGGACTCAACCTGCGGCTGCTGGGAAGTAAGGGTTATGGAGGGAGGTAAATGTTGGCTAGAAACCCAGGTTGGCTGCTCAGTAGTTGCGGCATCTTGAGTAAGTTGCCAGCTACCCTCACATTATGTCCTTTAAAAAAAGAAGGTATTGCACAAAATTCCATTTATTTGATGAGGTACCATTCTTGAACTCTGTGCTCCTTAAGTAAGGAAATGTACAGGGCAGTAGGCACTCAGTAAAGGCTGTTTAGAAAATTTTATTGCATAAAATTTTTTTAGAGATGAACACTCACTTAGAAAAAACTATGTCTACACGAATTTGTTCTGAATTTCTGGCCTTAAATTGACCATATGACCCTGTATGTTTTGATCATATAAATTGCTATAAGGTCCACTGTGTATACTTGAACTTACAGCAATTTTGTACGAGACATTTACAGTTGACTGAGAGCATGAGAGTATAGCTCTGCAGCCTGCATTCTTGTTCGCATCATGTTCTCCTTTGATTGCTTTTAATTTCAGCATTACAGCATCCCAACTAGGAGGAGAGGCAGGTTTTTCTTTCAGTGATATAGTGAACTGGTTCCTTGGCATCTTCCTCAGTGATGGAGATGATGGCATCATTTGCCAAGATTTGAATATCACTCTCAATCTAAAGTTCTCTCACGATACAAAGTTTGATGAACATCTGCATCAATTTATAAATGGGCAACATAGGAAACACCAACATCTTTACTCAGATTCCAGGTAGAGAACAGTCCATTTCTGCATCTATTTGCCATGAATCTGTTAAACTAAATTCTGTTCATTTGTTTAGCCTATGATTCGCTCTCTGGGTACATTAATTACCAAGAAAGCAACTTGTTAATTTTGCTTCAAGGGTGAGATCTTTCCACATCTCCTTTTCAGTTTAGGCATTAATCATCCTTGACCCCTGCAAGGTAAAAAATATCAAACTAGCTAGATCAGTCACAAGGATGTGTTTTCTTCCTGGAGAAGGATTACAGTTTAGGGAGAGAATGAACAGCAGATATGCAACATGTGTCTGCAAACCATACTGCAGTCTGTCTAAGCAAGAGACTCTCTAAGTTGGAGGCACAGACTCTTGTGCCTTGGGGGCAGGTTTGTATAGTCACACAGTGCTTGGTGTGTCAGGAAGATCTAGTGTTCCTGTGAGAGGACAGAGAGAGAGACAGGCTTGTGGGTAAATTGAGAATGCAGTGCAGTTGACTGTTGGTATCGTTGGTGTTCTAAAACATCACCCCCATGAAAATCAAAGACCACAGATGCAGGAGTCCCTGATATAAAGTGGCAGCCAATTTGCATATAAACTATTAGGATTAGGGCTACTAAGACGATATCATTGGATGTATGAATAGCTGTCACATTATATTGTGTGGAGAATGATGGCAGAAAAGAAACATATACATGCTCAGTACAGATGCAGTGTTTTGTTTCTGTGGAGTATTTTCATCTTCAGTTGGTTGTATGAATGAATGCAAAGAACTGACTATGATTGGCCTAGCATCCAGAGCCACTGAGTAGGCTTGAGACGTTGTGGATTTTAGGAACATCATTCTAGAAAGTGGAAGGTTGGTGGAAGGGCTTTAACGGTATTTAGAGGAAGAGGAAATGAAGCAATGGAGAGGAAAGGTAAAGACTTGGTAATCAATGGCACCGAAAACCAATGAGGCCTATCTGGCTTTCAAGCCTGAGTAAAGATAATATGAATTGCAAAAGGACAACCAGTAGACTGGGTGATTATTCCAGGGAATTATACGGTGATTTACACCTATAAAAATGTATGAGAACGCAGACTTCCTAGTCAAGTAACTTTCCACATGCACTTCTGTATCTCTTCTCTTTTCCTTCTTGTCTTTTTTAACTTACTGTGCCACGTACTTCCCCTATTCTCAAAGCCTTTTCTGGCCTGGTGGTGGTGGTGCGCACCTCTAATCCCAGCACCTGAAAGGCAGAAACTGTTGGATCTCTGAGTCATGGCCAGCCTGGTGTACAGAGTGAGTTCCAGGACATCCTGGACCACATAGAGAAACCCTGTCTCAGAATTGTAAAAACTAACAACCCCTTTTTCTAAACCAAACTTTTGGAGCATGGCACTGGTGGTTCCACATAATCACCGTCAGTGAAACTTCATACAGGTATGTATGCCAAGATTTTATGATTTTCCACACGGACAATTGTTTATTGGTTAATATTAATGAGCAATTAACAAACAATCAATTAACAACTAATTAGCAATCATGGTTATTATTTTCTTAGAAAACAAACAACAATAGTAACAAAACCCCACCCCTCTGGCACTGTCTGAACTGTCTGCTTCAGGATTCCTGTGAAGCAATAGTAGCAGCAGCAGCAGGTGTTCCTCTGTCTCTGCTGTTATTTTCAACACTTTGAGGGCTGACGTCAACATTCATACTTCTTGTTATTGTGGCTTTGGTTTCTGCAAAGCTATATCTGGCTAGCTTCTAGCTTCAGCTTCAGCTTCAGCTTCGGAATCCACAGGGTGTTTGCACTCAGAATTACTTAAAAATAGATTTCTGTGTGTGCGTATTATTTCAGTACCTGCACTGGTAGGAAGTGTCAGACACATCAGTGATGCTTCTAAGTTTGGACATAGTTTTGGGGGCAAAGTCCCTGCAATATAAAACCCTGAAGGAGGTTGGTAGAAGAGAAGGGAAGTTTTGCAAGCTTGCCATATCCCAGGGGTAGAAATTCTGCCTGGCTGTCACTCTCACCAGGTTAGATGAAGGTGGCTCTCACCTAGGATGGCAGTGAGAACCAGTAGTCTGGCACACAGCTATGAAGTTTGATTATGAATTAGATACAAACTCTCATTGTCTAATTTTCTTTGAGTGGTGAAATTATAGTTAAATAGGAAGCTTGTAGAAAGCTGGTTTCACATACAATTTCAGTTAGGGATGATGCTAAATGTTTGTAGTGAGTATAATTATGGGTTGGGTTCTGCCCACAGGGACATTCTTTGTACTTCTGCCAGAATCTCATTAGGCAACATCAATACTGCAATGTTATGCTGGTGCGAATCTCTAACCTTTCTTCTTTAAAGAGAGGTGTGGACGTAATTAAACCTTCCTGGAGTCTGGGACATCTTATTCACCTCCCATATGGGTACTATAAGTTAAGGCTTTGACTTGAGTTTCATTCTTCTGTTGTGCCTTTGGATAGCTTGATGGTTCTTTCTATCATACTTGTCTGACTTCCAAAAGATGGGGAGAGCTGTCCTCGATAAACAGTTGGGAATAAAAACAAGACAGGCAAGGAATTGGAAAGAGCCAAGGACATAACTCGAAACAAAGTATTAAAAGAAAAAAGCCCACCTCTGAATTTGCACCATCCCCTAACCACACCCACAACTTTTGCAGGAAATGTGTGCACGGAGTCAGGACAAGAACACAAGTCTGCCTTCCCAGCAAAAGTACCTTCTGTGTTGGTCTTTGAGCTGCTCTGAGGAGGGGTCACCATCAAGCCATGTTTCCGATTTCCTCTCTGCTTTGCACACTGACAGCTGCTGTGTTCGGTCTTGATTTTCCACTAAAGACAGACCTGTGAATCACTGCGTAGCAGGAGGCATTGTGTGTAGAATATTAATGCCTTGTCTTTTAAGACATCTCCCTGAAAGCAGAGGGACCTCCCTAAGATCAGCTCCAGACATCACTAGACTCCTGGCTAGTAAGAAGCTAAGGAGCCTAGGTTTGCTGTAGTTAGAGCCAAATGTGCTGCTTTCAAGCCTGCCAAATCGCTAAAGCTAGACTTCTCATATTAGATAATGTGTAATAAAAGACAGCTGTTGCCAGCATATGCTGTGAATTGCACACCAGGTCTCCATTCATGATTTCTGTGTGTGTGTGTGTGTGTGTGTGTGTGTGTGTATGTTTGTGTGTGTGCAATCCCTACAACTCAGGAAGACTCTGGCTGGGAGGGCAGTCTATTTGAGCAGCACCTACTCCAAGGCCACATCTTCAAATAGGACTGATGCATGCCAGGGAGAGGCACACAGAGAAAACTTGACTCAGAAGAACCATGATGAGGCCTTAGGTTGAGCAAGGCAGAGCCTTGAGAGTTTCTTTTTATATTACCACTAGGACAGCTCAGATCAAAACCAGGGAGACTCTGTGTCAAGATGTGGCTGGATGCCACCAGAGAGTTTGATGGCAGCTAAAGTATTTAAATTGCTTTGTATTTATATGTTTACTGTTTACATTCCCTTTACCAGTCCAGAAGGAAACTAATTTCTAATTTGATTTTGTCTGAACTTTTTGTGTCACTGATAACCCAAACATATCAGCCAAGGGAATGTTCATCATTACTTCTTAGCCAGTGAGCTACATAGAACTGATACCAGGAGGGAGGCAAGGAACACTCTCTTCTGCATGGAGAAGTCTGACCTAGTTTGTGGGCCTAAAAGATTTTAGATTTGAATCTATCCAAAATAACTTGTCACTTAAAAGGCAGGTTGAGGAAATCCTAAGGTCTCTATCAATTATATGGATACGGGACTAAGATTGTGGCATTTAACATTGTGGTAGTCAGACATTTATGAATTCTTGCCAACTGGTTAATTTTTGAGGACTCATTAATTGTTGTTAACATTTGTTTATTTAGCGTTATATATTAAGATGCCATTATTTTACTTTGTTTTTCTTAGCTCTCTTTCTACTACTTGACGGTTCTTTAAAAAAAAACTTCCATATGTTTGAGACTTTCATTCTTATGTTTTTAACACTATCTTTGATTTTTTCCCATGAAACTTTAGTTTAATGAAGGACAAACTTAAAGAAGATCTTAGCAAATACTACTGAACTTGAATATTTTACTTGGGGTCTTACCATCATTCAGTCTCAGGTGGCACGTGAAGCTTAGTTCTGTCTGTCTATTTTACTATTTTTAAAGTCACAGTCGACTCTAGGCCTCGTAGGAAGCACTGGTGTGGAAAGTAAAACCAGTGTCTTTCCCCAGAGTCCCAAAGCGTACAGATGGCTAACTGAAGAAATGAAGCATTTGATCAAATCTGATCCTCAAACCATAGCGATGTTTTACAAACACAAACCCTTAATTGTGATTATAGTTAACAGAATTAAATATAGCTGAACTAAGTATTTGACAGTCTGAATGAAGGGTGAAATCCAAGGAGACAGCGATAATGAAGATAGATCAAGAAAACATGAACACACTATAAGGGTGAGATGCTTGCAGATATCATGGTTTTTACTCCCATTCACTGGGATGCAGCCTTCTGATGTAACTGAAAAGTTCCAATTCTTTTTAATATCTCTCTGTCTATCACTGTCTCTGTATCTCTTTCTGTGTGTGTGTGTGCACACGCGCGTGTGTGTGTGAGCATGAGCACAAGATTGCACGTGCATGTGTATATGCATGTACATTAAATACTTTAGACGCAAGATCAGGTTATGAAAAACCATAACAATTGCTGGTCCTTATAAATCATGATTAGAAACTTAATTGTAAGCCTACAGGATAATTTAGGGTCTGAGCCTTCCTGCTTGTGACTCAAGGTATAATTGAAAAAGAAGACAATGCAATTGTTCCACATAAAGTTTGTTGGATGGCATCATCTCTCTATTATATATAGAGACTGGTGGCTGAATTCTTAACACTAAGGCATTCCAGAAAATTTGAGAAATTGTTGGCATTTGGTACCTGACAATTTGAATTTATGGTAATGCAGACTTCTGTGGAACTTGTCCTGTGTACATTAATTTCTCCTATGTGTTTTCTGCGTGTGGTTTTTATCCTCACATTATTTTTATTTATCTATATCAATGGCCTCGATTTACTGTCTTATTTATTTGCTTATGAATGACAATTACATTGTGTTGGCAGTTAAATGCCATGGCCTATAGGCTGGAGAGATGGCTCAGCATTAAGAGCATGTGCTGCCCTGTTAGACGACCTGGACTCAATTTTTGGTACTCTCGTGGAAGCTCATGACTGGCAGCACTTAATTCCACTTCCAAGAATCTGGTGGCTCCTCCTTTTAAAATATTATGGCTTAATTAGGTGCATAATATTATGTTTTGAGTCCCTAGAACAATACTTAAGAACAGACTAATTATTAATTCACATCTACTAAATATTTCTTCAACAAATGAAACCAAAACTAAAACTGGTCATAGTCCCTTAAAATGAAGGTCTTCCCTTTTGCTGACTTTCTCTCTTTATAAGAATTTGGGTCTGTCCCAGAAGCTTATGCTTATATCACTTTTTCAAAATGTGCAGGGGAGTGAATGTGGTGTTGTTTATAGCATTATGAGGTTTCTTTGATTTTTGGCAGGAAATATCACTACATTCTTCCAAAACTATTATGAAAATAAATCATAATCAGAAGTGGGGTTTTGAGTCCCTCCCTCTTATTTTATCTGAATCTACTTCTTAATTTTGTATCTTAACTATTTGTGTGTGAGGGCTGTGTGTGTGTGTGTGTGTGTGTGTGTGTGTAATGCTATGCATGATGAAGTCAGAAGAGAAATTGCAGGAGTTGGTTCTCACCCATGAAACCTATGTGGTGAGGCCTGTGAGCATCTCTACACACTAACTCATTTTGCCAGTTCCTTGAGCCATATTTTTGCTCATTCTTTGTAGATTATCTTGGCCTGGTAAAAAAGTATAACATGTTAAACTGGTATAGTAAATATAAGGTAAATATAAGCATTTCACCAACAGCTAAAGACAATATGGACTATGTGGTTTTCATGTCATTTTATGGATGGGTGTTTCAGTATGGCTGCAAATTTGCAAATTGCTAGAGCTCATTTTGAGAGGTTAACATAAACATGAGTTAGACAGAAAGCACTTATCGGAAGCCTGGAGTTCTGCTACAGAGAGAGAACATTCACCTTGCATAGTATCTTACTATCTGGGCTTCTCCTCACCTCAACAGGATCTCTGGGAATCCCTTTTCTCCCAGACTCTCTTTTGCTGTTAGGAGACAATGTACAATTATTAATTAGACAATTACTAATCTTATCTAATAAGGTTTCCAGGATAATGATGAAGAACAAAGTCCTTCGTGACCCAGAGCAGTTGAAAATGCTTCTTAAAGACCTTGAGATAACTCTATGCTTTCTGTATTTTTCAGCTTGCTTTGGCCAGATCGAGTTCTTTAGGTGACTTTTCCTGGTCTCAAAGGTAAGGAAATTGATTTCTTTCCTTCCTTCCTCCCTTCCTTCCTTCCTTCCTTCCTTCTTTCTCTTACTCCTTCTCTCCCTCCCTCCCACCCTCCCTCCTTCCCTCCCACCCTCCTTCCTTCCATCCCTCTGTCCTTCCTTCCCTTCCTTCCCTTTTCTCTGACTAAGAGTTTTAGGACTGTAAGTGCTCCAGTATGTGTGCATATCCACAAACATGCACAACCACACACGTGCACACAAACACACGGAAACACACCAGAATGTAGGTACATACCCCTGACTACAATTACAGAAATGAAAGCTAGTTTTCATTGTAATAGTAATTGTTAATGCTAAATACATGTCCAATATAATACTTGGTTATTTATGCAGTTTAATTTTTTTCTTACAGAAAGCTTGTTACTGTGGAAAAGCAGGACAATGGAGCATTTGGATTTGAAATTCAGGTGGGCACTTTGTAACCATTCTAGATTTCCAAGGAAAAAGCAGACACTAATTACATCATAATATTTGCAAAGAATAATGAGGTTAGGACAGGGTGAGAATGAAGATGGACACTGGACTTTATTTAGTGTGTGGCTGTTTTTCAGTATATTAGGGACTACCGGGAGAGAAAATGTTGAGACTTCTGTTTCTATAGAGATGGGCTTTGCTCCTTGTGCCGAGTCACTTCAGTCTGCACCTTAAAGGAGGAAGCAAAAGACATTATTTTTTTTTGTTTTTTCCAGACAGTGTTTCTCTGTATTGTTTTGGAGCCTGTTCTGGAATTCGCTCAGTAGACCAGGCTTGGTCTCGAACTCACAGAGATCCACCTGCCTCTGCTTCCCGAGTGCTGGGATTAAAGGCATGCACCACCACTGCCCAGCCAGCAAAAGACATTTTACAGAAGCTTATTTTCATAGAATCATATTGTACAGATTTTAAATACTTAAGCTGGGCCTGGTGGCTCATGGCTTTAAACCTAGCACGTGGGAGGCAGAGGCAGGAAGGGAGTCCTAGCCTACCCAGTATTACACTGTGAGACACTGTTTCAAAAAATAAAAAGGAAAGTAAAAGTAAATACTTGAGAGATCGCATATTTGTGTATATAAAATCCATATATGTCATAACAGAGACAAAACATTTCTTATTAGGTATAATAAGAAACCGGTACTTCCCCACACACACTGATAATAAGATAATAGCACTTTATTACTTGAAAACCACTGGTGGGAGTTTTTGCCCAACTTCGTAGGTTCCAGTGAGGCTGTCCAAGAATTTCATTTATTTGTTCCTTGTCTTTTCATGATTACATTTGTGAATATGGCAGATGGAGTCAAGTGGACTGCGGTCTAATTGAATGGCTCAGTGACAGCACCCTAAGTCTCCATTTCTCCACATCATTTCTGCATTTCTTTTTCATGTGCTTTGCATAATTGTGTTTTTATGCTATATGTCAGATTTTAGATCTTCGCTCCAGTGAGTGCAGCTTTCAGAAAACTTTGGTGTTATATCAACCCCATAAAAGGAAGCTTAGTGTATATTTTAGGAGCAGGAGCAGGAAGCTGCTACGTTAAACATGTTTTATGAGTAAAGAAACAACATGGAGTGAACAAGGAAGTTGTGGGAGAAGACGTTTTAGATTTCTGAGCTCCCAACTTTAAATTTACCTGAGGCATAATTTTCTACAAAAATGGGCTAAATCTATAAGTTTAGTAGTCCAGGCCCCTCACATGAACCGTTTGCCTTTGTCTTAAGAAATCCCGCATGAGATACTGCATGCCTATTACTGCCTCTTCAAGGATGCCCAGTGGTAGCAACTGGACACAGGGTCCTGATTGCTCGCCCATCTTCTTTTCCCACTCTGGTGGGAAACACATCACTGCTTCCTTCCGTTTCTCTCACCACAAGTGTATGTATAGAACCAAAGTCAACATCGTCATTACTGGACAACAGGCCACAGAGAGATGAGAACTCAGGAGCTCAATTAAACCTAATGGTTAAACCTCTGAGCTACAGCACACACATGGCATTTCAGAATGTCAACAGTTTGCAGGGGTGCTCTTGGCAATTTCCTTCCAAGCCAGCAGAAACACATGGATAGGAGATGTGGGTGTGAGTATTTGACCAAGTCATCTTTTCAGAGCCTTCATGGATTTTGGGTTTGCCTTTCCATTTCTAATTCCCAAATTTACAGCTACATAAATCAAAGTGATTCTCCTGCACTTTGTGCACATTGACACCTGGAAATGAAGGGCAGGTCTCCCTATTTATGAGGATTTCTCTCAAGGTGTATCAGGTTAGTCTTTGGCTCCTGCAGCACACGAAAAAGATTGGCTTCAATTTCTTGAAGGAGCTGAGCTGTGGTGTGGTCGTGGGCAGGAAACTCTCAAAAAGGCTTCTGATACAGGTGGGACCTGTGTTACAAGCTACTGAAAGCTGCTCTACTTTTCAAATAAAGGATTCTAAATGTATTATAGTTGAGCGAAAATCACTTAGCATTTAACAGAGCCAAGTGGTTAGCTCTGAAAATGATCTGCATGTAACTGATTATGGTGTCTCAGACATGGAATTCTCTAGAAGGAAGCAATCCTCTCAGGTAGCTTAATTTGTAGTAATGAGATTTTTAAAAGACATTTCAAAACACTGATTTTGGTTCTACATGGAATTCCACCCCACAATTCAAATGTACTAAATAGGAAAGCATGCTTGCAAGGAGTTATAGTAGTGTTATATGTAGCAAATGTTTCCTTAGTGTTTTTACATATTTTTAAGTGTAAACTAAAAACATCAACAATAAAACCCAGTACCACTGAACGATTTATGTCAAACTGAGACATCTGGAGAAACACATCTCATATCATTTACTTGGATAACTAAGGAACTGGTGAGAACTCAGTGCAGGAGGGGTCTTGTGCACTCAGAAATGAGATTGATCGAGCCAATTAGAGAACTTAGAAGGAACACAGGGCAGACTGTCATTATTTGCAGAATTGATTGAATACAACTAGTGTTGGCATGTCTCCCTGCTGGATAGTTTGCATCTCATACTCCACTCTAATGCCTGCTTTAGCTTGCAAGACCCACAAGGATTTTTTTCTTTGCACGTGACTATAATCGTTTCATCATGCTGAGAAACAGGAAGCTTAATTTTGTTATTAATAAGTACACAGTGATAGCATCAGGTGGTCTCTCGGGCTTGAAAACAGACCATTTTGAGACACTTGGATCCCACTCTCTTTTTCATGCCAGATGTTTGTGTGTGTGTGTGTGTGTGTGTGTGTGTGTGTGTGTGTGTGTGACTGGAATTGGCTGCCGATTATCTACTGGAATCACAAAATTGGTACCTTCAGTTCAGCGTAAAGTGAGGAAAGCTTTCCCACAGTTGTCCTTTGCACTTACTTATTATGCCACTTAATGCTGCTGGCATGAGTTTATGATTTGACAAATATTTGTTGACTTTTTTGAGTAGTTACTATGTTATTCACTTAAATTTTATAGACCTACAGACTCCAGAACCAGAACATCTGCTCCTCAGAAGTGTGTACCATGATCTGCAAAGTACAGGAAGACAGCCCGGCCCACTGCGCTGGCCTGCAAGCTGGTAATGTAGCTCTACTCATGCTAGAAGCCATTTAAATAGCAAGAAACTCTTTGACAGTGAAGGTTAGGAAGCAGTTGCTGCTTGGAATTTTCTTGAGTGATACTGTGGTTGGAGCTTGCCTGTTTGTCTTCATTTCCATGCCAGGGGGCTTTGTTTAAGTAACTAATAAGATACTTGTTTTTCTTGCCGTCTCCCAGGTGACATCCTTGCAAATATCAATGGTGTGAGCACAGAAGGCTTTACCCACAAACAAGTGGTTGACCTGATCCGTTCGTCAGGAAGTCTGCTAACGTAAATATCCACTTAGTTGCTGTGGGGTTTCAAAGATGTTTTGGTGTCTGAGAATGCCTGAGGGATGAGTGAATAGACTCTTTGTCTGTGACTCACCAGAAGGGAGACAGCATACACAGCTTTGGGATGGGCACAGACAGTATTATGGGTTCCTTTTGTTTCTCTAGGTATCATGCATCATGAATATATTGTCAACATGTGAAGTCAGGGGATGTCACTAGACAAAGGTGCTTTGTAGAAGGGACATCATTTACTAATGTATTTTTAATATCTGATCCAAGAGAAATTAGACCTGTTTCCAAGGTTCATAAATCTTTCAGCTACACTTTTTTCCTCTCTCATATTTCTCAAGCTGCTTGTTTTTCCTGTTACTGTTCCATAAAGAATAATGAAAAAATGTTTCCTCAACTTTCCCCACCTTTGAATGTACATAGTAACATGTATTAATGCTCAATTTAACAGGATTGCACTAGTCTTTCTTGCTGCTCAAGGTGATTAATTTAGATTAATCTTTGAAATTGATCTTAAAAATCTGAATGTGTTAAATCTACCAGGACACCCATTGTTATCCATAACATCATAACTGTCTTAGAAAACAGACAGCATTGAGTTTGTTTTTACCTGTTCCAATAACCCAATAAGATATTAATAAGCAGCTATAATAAAATATATTATTACATTAAAATCACATATACTGAACAAATATTAAGCTTTTATCTGTGTGTATGTTCTAGAGGCAAAAATAAAGAATGAAGAACTCTAAAAGTTGTAGATTTCTAAGAAAAGCCTGAAATTCTAACATTGAAGTTATTGGTAACCACTGGAAAAATGGAGAATAGTGCAATGGGGGGGACACTTATTAAGAAGGGGGCCAGGAAGATTCAGTGTTCAAGGTGCTCCAGTCTGGGGATGTACAATTAGAACTGAGACTAAACAAAGGGAAGGAATGGCCGTAGGAACTCCTGGTAGGAACACGTTGGTAAAGAACGATGTCTTTGAGCCCTGGAAGTGGATTTGGCATACCCTGGGGACAAGTGAAATTGGTGACTGGTGGATTAGAGAGAAAGTATGAGTGATGAAGTCACAGCAGGCCAAGCATCAGATCTTGAGATGCATTGCTGTGCCAGGGACTTAGATTTTATTCTGAGTTAGGTGGTTTCAACATTACCAAATTCATTTTTTCATAGACCCCTTTTCAGCCTGAGTTTATTCCTTTATGTACAGGAAGTACCTGAGGTAAGGAGGGGTTAGTTGAGTTCAGCTGCATAGTGGGTGACAACAGGATCTAACCTGCATTGGTGCCAGATTTGCTCTTGCCAGTTACAGCTGCTCACTGGGAGCTACCAGTATTCTCCACTAGATTCTTCACTGATACTTCAAAGGACGTTTGGGATGGGTGTGTAGAGGCAATTTTAAAAGATGACTGATGACGGTAGAGGTGATCCCCACCCTTCTTAAGGGTAAAAGTTAGGAAAGCTCTTTACTCAAAGAAGCCTAGAACCAGATAGATAAAATGCTATTGGCTGGAGTCAGAAAGATATGTCCCACATAGATAAAGCAAGAAGACCACAGATAAAGTAAAATGTGAGATCCTGTGAACAAATCCTGGAGGAAGGGCCCATCTCTACACTTGTGCACATCCCTTGCTTAGATAGGCTAGAACAACACCAGGAGTCTTATGCAGCTTTATAATGATTCTATTGTCCACAGAACAGAGACTGGCTCAACTAGAAATCAGACAGTATTTGTACTACCATCTTATTATGTTGGGTCTGATGCTGGAAGAATAGAGGAAAGAGAGTTCACATACCACATCTTTAAATTTTTCTCACACCTTCATGAATATAATTACAATTTAGTAGTCACAAAGGAATTAGAACAAATGCCTTAAAATGCTTAAGAGTGTGATTCAAAGGTGAAATTAGCTACTGTACTTAGTTAGACACAGGATTTGTAGCCAAAAGAATGGTGAAAACAAACCAGCTCCAGGGAGAACAAGTTTCCTATTTTTGGAAATCTTTGGTGTAGGAAGAGGAAAATATTTTTAAACTGATAACTCTAGGATAGTCATTTGTAAACTAAAGGTTTTGAGATGAAATACTCATATGAGGTTGCAGGAAAAATTCCCTGTTTCAACACTTTGAGTCCCTTGTAGGAAAAGTCCTGAATACCACTTTTGCTGATATACTATCTGGCTCATAGTAGATTCCCAATGAATATTCACCAAATGACTGAGATTATTCAGCTGGCTCAAGCAAGAACAGAGTCTGGTGGAAAGTAACCATCATTAGCACATAGGGTCTTCTAGAAAATGAGCTATGGTTTGTAAATTAGCCAGGATCTTTCCTTCCCTTCTACTCTTTGTCAGATAGTTTACCATCCCCCCTTCTCTCTCCCAGTGTTGTTGGGAATTTGGCTTAAGTCCATACACTCAAGTATCCACACTCCATTGTGGAGAGCCTTAGGAGAGGTGACACTTGTGTTGCATTTCCAGTACAGTCTGCCTTTAGCATTCAGTGCTTCATAAGGATGGGACCCCTTGGAAGGCGTAGCTCTGGTATTTACCCCCACCTTTCCCTTCTCTTCAAACAGGATAGAGACTCTTAATGGAGCAATGATTCACAGGAGAGCAGAGCTTGAAGCAAAGCTGCAGGCTTTAAAGGTAATTTGATTTAACACAGCACATTATTTCTCATCCTTGAATGCGTGAGGAGTAGAATAATGATCTATCTGAGGAACTGAGGTAGCCCTTGAAGGGGAAATGTCAGGATGCATCTAAACTGCTGACTTGTCAAGGGCCACACAATTACTTCTGCAAGAATATCTAAGACTGTGAATATGTGTAAATCACCCTCTTCCTTCCTCATTCAGAGTCTATGAGGCTCAGAAAGCCAGCGGGAGGGAAGGCATCTTACCTGAAGAAGGATTCATTGATGCACCTGTGATCACTCTTGATTTACATTTTGTTAAAGGAGGAAAAAAGAGTAGGAGTGAGCACTGAATGCTGCAAAGTGCTGGCAGGCCCATCGGTTTTGCTTTCTCGGTGTCCTTTGCATCCTTTCCTTCTGCACCATTCTGAAAATTGGAATATCTACCACCAACCCTGTGGCTGTCCTTGAATCTGCTTCCACTGGCAAACATAATGGAAGGAAAGAAAAAGGTCACAATGTGACAGTGCCTAATGGAGGATGCTCAGTGTACATTTCTTAGCATGGCTCTTTGAAAGTTTTCAAAATCTCAGTTCTCTATGTTGGTGAGTCGTCCAAGTTATGAATTCCAGACACTCAGAATGAGTCAAAAATGCTCCTGACTCCTCCCAGGTCCCAGCTGGCCACCTCATCCTAGTATTACCCCAGTAGGACAATGGAGCGGCCAGCCTACACAGAAATGACTTGGCTACAACCAAGCTACTTACTTTTACTTTGTAAAAATCTGCATCCATTAGCTTTTCTCATGAGGTAGTACATTTATTAGCTGTGGATTTCAAGGGAACAGTTCACTGTATTTATAGTTTATCTAGAATCTTTTCCTCTACACCATGATAATTCACTAGCGAACTTCATTAATATTGGTTTCGACATTCTTGCAGTAGTGTTCATCCCCATGAATCTTAAGATCAATTAAAAAAATCATTGAAGAATCCTCTCTGCTCAGATTTTGGTATGAATTAAATTTTAGAATAGAGTACATGAAAACAATTGAAATCTTTATGGCTTTTATTTTTCTTACCTTGTATATAAGTTTTCCCATTTTTATTTCATACTTAATATACTCCAGAATAATTTCCGTCATGCATTTTAAAATGTATTCTTTAGCTAATAAAAGATAATCCTTTGATGTTTCTTATCTTTAGTTCAATTATTCAATTGATTTACTTTTCTTCTCATATAGCATTGGCTAGGATCGTCAATATATTATAAAGTATTGTATTATTCTTCACTTTAAAGAACTGCTTCTATCATTTTTATTGCATTTTTATGAGAGGTAGTAAGTGCTTTATACTATGTTTAGGCTTATTAAACTTTCAAAATTTAATTTGTTTTTGTAAATAGCAAATACTTTTGCTGAACATCTTTCATATGTTAAGTTCTCAGTCTTTTGTTTTTAAAAATGTATATGAAAAACAGACTGGTGATTTTATGTTTTATTATGTTAAATAATACATTTGTATTTCTTGGAATGCAGTGCTTACTCAAGCAAAGCACTGCTAAATACTTTATCAATTTATATTCTTTGAACATAATTTTAACAAAATTTCTATAATTTTAATATACATAATTAACTGGTTTTAACTACCAGTGTGCATGCCTTTCAGTATCTCTGTTCTCTTCTAGAATATAAGTAGGTCCTTAATATACTTTAAATGCATACTTAAGAACACATCTTCCTATTCTTTTCTTTAGAGCATTTTATCAATTATCATAATGTGAGATTTTATTATGAATAGCTTGAAGTGAAAACATATACATTGGTGAGCTTTCATTGCTCCTTCATTTTACTCTTATCTTGCATATTATTTCATTAAATGATGACCAGTTGATCTTTCTAATAATGTTCTTATATTTCTCTGCTACTCTTGAAGAACTGGATTCTGGGTAATTGAAAGTATTCTAGTTTAATGAGGTCTAAATTTTGAGTCTCCTCAATTCTTTGAAAATCTTTAAAATATTTGTTTATTAATGAGCTCCTAAATATTGATCAGTTGTCAGTCATCTACATTAAATTTTTTTCTTTTTCATATTAAAGTGTTAATTCATTCAGAAATATTATTTGTATATACTACAAAATATGGAATAATTTGATTTTTTTCCATATGCAGAGGAAGATCTCCCAATATAATTTATTTTATATTTTGCTTTTTTCCTCAAATGAGTTGCTGTAGAACTTACATTTTAAAATAATTTTCATGTAAGTCCATATTTATTCACAGGTTCTCCACTGTGGTTCACTGGTTAATTTATCTTTTATATCTAACTCAGTTTGTCATAATTTGTGATACCTAATTGGACAGTGTTGTTAGTCTGTTGATCATCTGTCAAATTATCAAGTTCCATGAATAAATGATATAGGTTTGATTGAAATTTCATTTTATATAGATAAGCCAGTGCCAACAACATTAAACATTAATGGCATTTTATTTTATTGTTGCTAGGTTATTGTCTTAGGATTTCTATTGCTGTGAAATGATATCATGATCACAGCAACTCTTATAAAGGAAAACATTTAATTGGGGTGGCTTACAGTTTCAGGGGTTTATTTTAGTTCATTATCATCATGGTGGGACATGGTGCTGGAGAAGGAGCTGAGAGATTTACATCTTGATCCACAGGTAATAGGAAATGAACTGTATCCACACTAGACGTAGCTTGAGCATAGAAGACCTCAATTACATTTAAACTATCTTTTAAGTTATCTTTTAAAAAATTGTTTACTTATTTTATTCCCAAGCCAGTTCCCCTCCCTCTTCTCCTCCTATTCTCACCCAAAGCCCCCATCAAGTTGTCTTAACAGTTTTACTATTTTTCCTTGCTTCTTTCATAGAATCTGATAATCTCACACATGTAGGTCATATAGTCATTTATTGCATTATACTTTGTAATTTATGCTTTTATTATTTCTTTTTTGGTTTTTACAAGGCAGAGTTTCTCTATATTGTTTTGGAGGCTGTCGGTCCAGCCTGGCCTCGAGCTCACAGAGATCCGCCTGCCTCTGCCTCCCGAGTGTTATTATGTTTTTTTATAAAGGTAAATTTTTATGGCTAGTGTATAGGTATTAATCAATCATTTTTATGCTGTTGCTAACAACCAAGCACTTTGTTAGACCCTATAATGTCTCTTGAAATTGTTTTTTTATATTTTTTGTGTGCTCTATAAGGATAATAATTGAACAAAATGGAACTGGTTCCTTTTTTTCTCTGCTCTACCGTCTCAGGCTAAGATTTAGCCTTTAACCCTCTGCTATATATATAATTTTTGTCCTCATTTTCATTCTTTTTCCCTCTTGACAATTTTCTCTAGAGTACTTTCTACTATATTATACTCCCACCTGTATGGGAATATGTGCCCCCCTCCGTGTGTGTGTTTTTGTGTGTGTGTGTGTGTGTGTGTGTGTGTGTGTGTGTGCGTGTGTGTGTGTGTGTGTGTGTCTGTGTGTGTGTGTGTGTGTCTGTGTGTCTGTGTGTCTTTCCCTCCCTCCCTCTGCCGGTCATCTTTGACTATAACTTAATTAGGTCCAGACTCATAGGTCAATTCTTCTGTTTAAAAATTGGCACTGATCTTTATGTCTACAGATAAGTGACTCTAGCTCTGGAGAAACCATTTCATTGGATGCATTGTCTTTATTACTTCCCCTATTCATTTGTGAAATTCTATTAGAAATGAGTTATGGTATTTTGATTGGTCTTCCTTAATAATGACACCAGTAGCATCCTTTTTATCTGACTTTCATATAGAATGTGTTTTTTTAATTAGCTTTTAAAGGTGACTTATACTATATTGACAAAACGTTCCTTTTTATATCTATCTGTTCTCATGTCTCTCAACTCCTTTGTGCTGATGAACACTGATTCTATTTTTTCATTTTTCTATTGGCATTTATAAATTCTTATTTGGTATCTGTTTTGGAGTTTGCCTGTTTCTGTTGCTTGTAAAGAATCCATGCCCTGAGTAGCATGCCTTTCCTGTCATTGAGCTTCTGTGGATGCTGTGGGGTTGAGTGTCAGTTTCTTCTTTGTCTCTGTGAGATAGCTGTACAGTTCCATCCACACAGAGCTTCTAAGCTCCCTTTGCAGGGCCAGGTCTGGCAGCTTGACGGCCTCTCTCAGAGAGTAAAGGCACAGTGCAGTTCAGATCATGAGGTCTTGTTGTGTTCCTGTGTCCCAAGATGTTAGCAGTCCGTTTCATCATACCTAATACTCAGCCAGAGGTACTCTCTCATGAAGGAAATTTGTCTGAGTTCCTTGTGTTAAATAAACACATTGAAACCACATATTACCACAGGATCTAAATTTCCTAGCTAGCTCTTGATGCTTCTGTTTGACATATCTTCTGTTCATTTCTGTTTAGCATCTTGCATTTATGTCTCATCCAGTCTTGCAATGATGATACTTGTAGTTAATCCCTCAAGGCAGAGATGACTGGGTCTGACCTATAACTAAAGTCAGGCTGGCTTCCTCTCTGCACAATGACATTTATTTTGCATCTGATTTGCAAAGACTGGGTGGAGTCCCAGTCTTTTCTCTGGAAGAAGTTGTCCCTTCTGAGTCACATTTTCAGGGATTTCCTTTATCTTAACCTGTGCTTCAGATGCTTAGCACAAATAGTGAACTAGTTAAAAGACCTAGTTTTAAATATATCTCTGCTACCTACTAGTTCTATTATATATCTAGAGAAATATTTTGCCTCAGTGAACTTTTATTTTCTGACCTACAACAAAATTATGAAATTTAGTGACACATTATTTGTAAGAGCATAATGAAAAGATTAGGTGCCAGGAGAAATGTTATTTGTATTTACATAGAATGAAAATACTGGGGACATATCCGGGACCAACTCAGCATGTGATATCTGAAGATTGTTTTCAGGAAGCTGTACTCTTGTATATTCATTCAATCATATTCACTCATTCCTTCAGATTCTATGTATGGGTCCAGTGACATAAACTTGTAGCATAGGGTCAGATCCTCATATCCTTTAACACTCACCTGATAAAGAAAATTTAGATCTGACTGAACACGTGAATGTGACAGCAGTAGCACAGACAGAAACAACCCTAAGGATAATAGAAAACAGTTGCAGATTGAAAACATTCACTCTGCTCTCTCTTTTCTTTATACTGCTGTTTTCTTGGTGTACGTCACGGCACATTAAGATGACTAGGTGAGACCAGCAAACTGGCGATCTTAAAACCTTCTATCACAAATATGAACATTTTGTAAAGCTCTGTCCATGTACTTATGAAAACTAAATTCAGGAAGACAACATCTTTGTCTTTGTGTTTTTAGTTTTGACCAACAACCCACCCTGTTCCTCTCTGCTCCTTTATTCTCTTTGTAGGAGATAAATATCTTTAGCAAGTGTGACGTGTGTAGGTACATACGGTAGCTCTGGCCAGTCCTGCTCTCTTCAAGCCTCTGATTCTGATCTTCACATAACTACAGACTTACAAGATGACAATCACAGTGACTGAGGCAGGAAGCCTTCCTATGACTGCTGGTGAATATCACGGTTCAGAAAGAAAAGCAAATGAACCGAGCTAAGCATTTTGTCGTTATTTGACAGCCAAAGAATTGCTTTGGATGCTGCTGTGAGCCAAACTAAGTGTTCTACAGACAGAGGAATGACCCCTGCTCCGCGTACTCATTTAATGATGTCCTTGAGATTTTATTTTCTTCTCTTTCTCCCATTTCCTTTCAAATGTACATTTAAAAAATCTTTCTATGTTAATCATCATTTACTCCCTCCAGGTGGTAGTGTACAAAGTACTTCTTTTTTCCAACTAGACTGCGTTCTTAGGGATAAATCTCCTTGGCAAGTCTGAGCTGTGGCTACATGCTGGTCTTGCTATGGGGACCTAAAATAGCAAAGGCAGGGGTGGAGGAGAGGGAAGGAAACAGGAAGGAGAGTGTGCATGTTACACCTGCCTTTCCAGATGGCTTCTTCCCAGTTAGCTTTGACCTCCATTGACTTGGCTACTGTGTGGCTGGACCAGGCCAGGCATTCTGTGCTTGTCTCCTGATGGCCACATTTCATTTGCCAGAGCAGCCAAGAGAAGAATTGTGAAGTCAGCGTATGGGCTGGGGATACAGCTCAGTTGCTTAGCAGGTACCATGCCTTGAAATTTCTCCCTAGAGCCTCATAAGTGACATGGTGGGTCGTGTACTTGGAAATTGAAAGAAGGAGAGTCCAAAGTTCAATGTCACCTTCAATTACATAGTAAGATCAAGATGCAAGGTTAACCTGGGCTACATGAAGTGATATCTCAAAACAAACAGCAAAGTTAGGGTGCTTAAATGTGTTCTGGGTAGATGTCCAATAAAAGGTTTGTTTCAGAGCCCAGATGCATTGATTGATGATGGTATGTACTAAGCATTTACTAACATTTAGTTTCTGGTCCAAACTTTTCATCTGTTAACTACATGGTTTCTATTTCACGTTATCTGTATCATTCATGTGGAAACAGCTAATAAGCTCTTTCCAACATAAGCAATCTGGTTCCATATTTTTGAAATAAAACTTCATCTTTTTTTCTTGTTTGTGAAGAAAAGATTTGTTGGCCCTTGAGAAATCAGCATTCCTAGTATCCTCTGTAATTCGGCAGAAGTCTGAAGACTGGGAGTGGCAGGCCATGATGCTGGTCTCCACTGCATTGCCTGCTTGGGATTTCCTAAGACTCAGAACTTTCCACCCCCTATCTTTCTCACAGCAAACCTTGAAGAAAAAATGGGTGGAGTTCAGGTCTCTGCACTTACAGGAACAGCGCCTGCTGCATGGTAAGCTCAATTTCCTGTCAGGAAACCACATTCTCATCGCACCCTCTCAGTATTTCTGCTTCCAAATGTTTTAAGATGATCACTATTATAGTACAAGTCTAGTTAGCACCAGTGAAGGACACTAGTCTGTGTTTTGCTGGGATGAACAATGAGTGGCCTGTGTGTTTGGAGGAGGGTGAGTCAAGCTCCCTTCTACACACACAGTGCATACGCATATGAAAACATGTATGGACATAGGAATTCACACACTTGCCATAGGTGATCAACAATTACAGAGGAGTAGGTAATATTGTCTGCAATTACTCTCTGCCACATCAGCCAATGAATTAGATTCCTGTAAATGATTCTGACTGAGGCTATTCAAACAGGCATGGCTGCATCCTTTATTGGTAGAATGCAAGCCATTTTTCAAATTGTATTGGTTACATTTATGCAGAGAATCTCAGGACCAAGACAGACATATAATAGTATCATGATGCTAAGAGGTACTGGCTGTCTACACATTTTGATGCAAGGGGTTGATTCTAGTCAGCCGGCTTGCTCTTTGCTGTGTTACTTGAGGAATTGAACCTCTCTTTTGGGAGGTCAGTTGAGGCAGTGTCCTGCTATATAGCCCTGTATAACTTGGTGATCACTGTGCAGCGCAAGCTAACAACCTCAAACTTCTGTCTTCTAAGCACTGAAATTCCAGGCATGCACCTTCATATCTAGCAGGAAAGAAGTCCGTGCACAAATAATGTACTGACATCACTAGCTGTGTGGTCTGGAATGTAGGTCATTTCTTCTTTAGGTAACAGTCTGCTCTATTTAGCACCTGGAATATTTGTTCAAATAGTAACTACCTTGCAGAAAAAGCTACTATTTAAAAATCACCTAAAACTAACTCATATAACCGTACAAACTGTATCTGGTCATGAATATCATGTGATACATTCTGATGTGATGTGGACATTATACAATGTTTAAGTCAAGATTAGCTAGTTCTTCAGACATTTATTTTTGTTGTTGGTAGTAAAAGCTCTTAAAATATCTTCCTTGTAGCTTTTGGAAGTTTATAGTAGATTCTTGTTAGGTATAGTTACCCTACCGTGTGAAGTACTCTGAATGTCCCACTCTTATCTAATTGTAACTAGTGCCCATGGATCAGGGTTTCCACTAACCTCTCTACTCTCTGTCCCTGCCCAGCCTCTGGTAACCACCATTCCACTCTCAACAACTGTTAAACCAGCAAACGTTTTCTGATAGTGCATGAAATAAGATTATTTCATGTGTGTGTTTTTATACTTGGGGTCCTTCCTTTAACACAACAATCTCCAAGCCCATACTATCACACATAAAGAAATTTCTTCCTTTTTTCATGAATAAAAGGTATTCCACTCTGTATGTACTATATTTTCACCCTCCACTTGTCACCTGACAGGTGTTTTTATAGAGCTCATGCTTTGGCTTCTGTGAAGAGTGATAATCTGAGCATGAATGTGCAGATTTTGTTGATACACTCGTTCTGTTTTTTATGGCAATACATACATGCTAGAGACATTACTGGGTGATATGGCAGGTGTGTGTGTGTGTTTATGTGTGTAGTCTTCACATTATTCTCTGTGGTAGATGAAATGTGGGAGGGTTGTTTTTCTTCCACATCTTCACCATTAATTTTGATCTTGTGTCCTTTTGGTATAAGCATTCTTACAGGGGTGAAGTGAGTCATTTTGGCTTTTTTTGTGCTTACCAGTTAATTAATGACACCAGGAATTTTTCATATATTTGTTGGCCAATTTGATGTCATCTTTTTTTAAAAAATTTATTTATTATATATACAGCAGTCAGCCTTGGATGCCAGAAAAGGGCACCAGATCTCATTATAGATGGTTATGAGCCAACATATGGTTTCTGGGAATTGAACTCAGGACCTCTGAAAGAGAAGTCAGTGCTCTTAACCTCTAAACTATGTCTCCAGGCCTTGATGTCTTTTTTTTTATCAGTTATCTATCCAAGTATATTCTATGTATCTTAGAGTCTTTTATTTTTCTGTTTTCTGGAGTTCCTTATAAACCCTTAGGTATCATTTAGACATTGATAACACTGTAGAGATTTGATTTGCATTTTTTACTAGACAAGTTTGAAACTTTGAAGAGTTACTTCTCTTTATAAAATTATTTGTTTATACTGTCTCTGTGTGTTTGTGCTCACACACACACGTTTTGTGCCACAGAGTGTATATGTGAAGGCCAGGGGACAACTTGCAGGAGTCAATTTTCTCCTACTCTTCTACTAACCATATGGGTCCCAGGAATTGACCTCAGATAATCAGGTTGGCCTACTTTTCCTTTTTATGAATTTCAGTTAACTTTTGTTGTTGTTATTTTGAGAACGGGTTTTGCTATGGCAACAGCCTCTTTCCTTTCTGATGCTAGCCCAGGTCTACCATATTACATTTTGAGGAATCAGAAGGTTAGTATTTTATTTTATAGAGAGAATAAGAAAGACTCCCTTGAAGCCTTGTTGTTCAATTTCCTGGTTTACATAGACATGGGTATTGCAGAAGCCTTTGCCCGAAGTACTGATGGTTCCCAACAACCCCAATGTGTACAGTTTCCAGAGACAAGGAACGGTAGCAAATAGATCTAATATCAGGAGCACATGGTTGCACATTTTTTGAGGGTGTCCATTCATCTGCGTTCTCTAATACTAGAGGCAGCACCCAGAAAAGGAGTGTCCATAAAGCAGTTGCTCTTCCATTCAGATTTATCAGCTCGTTGTAAGATGAGACCAAGCAGTGTATAGTAGCAGAACGGAAATCACTGTGCATGCTGGCTGCACATGGCCTCATAGATCAAATGGAGTAAGAGCAGTGTCTCTTTTCACGTTGCCAAGCAAAGACACAGGAGAGCAAAGATGATGAACACGGGACAGTCTGTGGAGTTTTTGCCACCTCACATTCTCAGTTATGCTTTTCTGAGCACACTAGCTGACTGAGTGATGAGAAGCTGGTGAGGCAGGAGAGAACATGACTCATCACTCGGTTTGGGGAACCCATTTGTGGGTTATGAAGCCCTGATGGGAAAACTTGGCCAAGAAGCTAGAACTCGGTTTTCTGAGGTACGTGCTTGAGGATAGAGATGATTCCTAGGCTCAGCACCATCCTAGAACTTCCAGCCACTCCAGAAGGCAATTTGTAATATTGCGGCTGGAAGGCATAGTTGACATAAGCACATGGTCTGATTTGTAACTGGTTTTCACATATACTTTAAATGACTTGATAATAAACTTATGATTCTTTAAAGACAGCTAATAAGAGTCAGAGAAGCATTTCCCTGAGCATTTATTTTGACCTCACTACTGTGAGCATTTTCATAAAAGTTTCCAGGGTTACACATTTTAAGAAATTGGCACTTGGAGGTTCATAGAGTCACACTGTCATGGTGTCAGTTGGGTTGAATTGATTTCATACCGAGTATGCCTGCTATCTGCCTCTAAGATAAGTCATCTTACAGAAATAAAGTTTTACTTGGCTCAGAGTTTGAAAGTTTCATTCCATCCGGCTTCGGCCTTTGGTAGCATATCATGGTACACCATGGCTGAAGCTCTTAAGAGAATAAAAGATCTCTGTTGGTGATGCGAGAGTGAGGGGAAAAAAAGGACCAGGACACAGAAGTTGTAATCCAAGACCATGTCCCCAGTGACCTAAATCCTCCCAGGAGGCAGAATCTTTCAGTTTTCACCATCTCCCAATAGCACAACCACATAGTAAGTCTCTTGGAACACAGTCCACATTCAAGGTATAGGCATGAAATATCTTGTTTAAACTTGGATGCCAGTTTGGGAAACCCTTCTAACCTTATTTGTGCAAGTGAAAACTCAGGCCAAAGTATTTGTCCTTCTCCTCTTGCATTCTTTAAAGTTGGATGTGCTTTCCTGTCGGGACTGGTGGTCACATCCATCCCACAATAGACTCTTCTCTGTATTGTAGGAGATGCAGCTAACTCGCCAAACTTGGAAAACATGGACCTGGATGAGTTGTCCTTGTTTGGAAATCTTCTGGGGCCAGGCCCAGCCCTCCTGGACAGGAACCGATTGTCCAGTGAGAGCAGCTGTAAGAGCCGGTTGAGCTCTGTGACCATGGACAGTGAAGATGGCTACAGGACAAGTGTGTCTGAAGACTCCAGCCGGGGTGCCTTCAGCCGACAGACCAGCACGGATGACGAGTGCTTTCTCTCTAAGGACGGAGATGACATTCTGAGGAATGCTTCTTCCAGGAGAAACCGGAGCATCAGTGTCACTAGCAATGGATCCTTATCCCCCTTGTGGGAAGGCAATTACTCAAGTATGTTTGGGACTCTACCCAGGAAAAGCAGACGGGGAAGTGTCCGGAAGCAGATTTTGAAATTCATCCCTGGCCTTCATCGTGCAGTGGAAGAGGAAGAGAGTCGCTTCTGATGGGGGGCAAAGACTATTTGAATGGGCTGGTTTCACAATTCTCTCTCCACTTGTCTAGATGAGCTCTACCTGACTTAGTGGGGGAAGGACAGCCTGGCTGAGAAGCTCACATCCCATTTCACAGCAGCGTTGACCTTTAAGTTCTTACATTGCTATTTTTGGGTCTAATATCATTTCTTTTTTTCTTCTGATACAGTTCAAGTTCTCAGAAGACATCGGGGGAAGAAAGTTATAGGTTAGATAATGTCATACTGCTCCTCTCCTTTCCAACTCTAGACACGAAAGTACAAAAAAAGTATTTATTTTACTGGCTATGCATGTAGGAAGTGGAGAACTCTTTGGAGCCAAGTGTGAATATGGACTGATAGGATATAGTTATTGGATTGCCTTCTTAGGTTATTTGGTAGACTACAACACCCTTTGTTTGCTTAACTTACTCAGTAGCCTCTGCGGGAGCCTTCGTAAGAGAGAAATTGAAAAATTTTCAGACTATTAAAGGATCATAAACAAAGATGACCATGGGCATCTTCTCACATTGACAGTGACAGTGAGGCAGGAGGTTAGCATTGGTGGGAAGGGCTAAGCTTCCTGAGAATCATGGAATGTGGTGTTGAGGTGGGCACCTGGGACCATTACCCCATGCTTTTCTTTTTGGATGTCCAAATAAAATGAATGAAACTCTCATTATACTTTTTGCCCATTTCAATTTTTTTCTGCCTAAACATGGATGCCAAGTCCCGAAATCTCAGCATCCTATGGAGCTGTGATTATATATTGCTGCAAATGTGTAAAATTCTAAAAGGGTGGGTGGGAAAAGAACTTGTTTTTCCTGCTTCTCCTCATTATGCATTCCACATAGGTGTTGCCTCAGCCCTTGCTTCCCTGGTAGCTATGCTTTTTGTACCTTTCAATCATTTTCTCTTCCAACAACCATTAAAATCTTTGTTCTAGCAGGTGTTTATTATTGATATGCTGAAGTAAACAGTATGAACCATGTGAGGAAGGCATGTTGATTCTAAGCTCCAATGTGTGTGTTTGTGTTTTCAAAAGAACTGCTACAATTAAATGAATTTCTAGTGTGATCCATAGAAAGTACTTTTGAGAAAAAGTGAGATAAGGAAGTTTGTAGGGTAATAACCAAAAAACTAGTAAAAGATGAAAAAGATAACTAGGTGTCTAAACTAAGACATGCCTACAAGAGGTTCTATGCGACATATTTCTCAGGCACACCAGCAGTTCTTCCTCCCAAATATGGAGTGTTAGGTATTCTAAAAGCACCTTGCGTGTGATCCTGGAACAATTGGGGGCAGGATACAAAAAATAATTCAGGGATGTAGACTAGGTGGTCACATAGCTTGTCAGTAGTCTGGCTGAAACTGGAAGCCATTTCTTCTTGAATCTAGCCTGTACTCTAGGCGTCTTTGGATTCCTTACTCTTGCTGGTTCTGTTGTAGTTATGTTAGAACAAATGGGCCTTTCTTGGTCTGGATGTACATGATACAGGGATTTGGGATGTCAGAAACTCAACTCTCACCAAAAATCAACAGTGGTTCTTAAGTTGTCTCAGATGAAGGTTAAAGACAGAGACACATGTAGGGGTGAATACAGAAAACAAAGAGAAAGTGAGAAATTAAGGGAGAAAATCCTAAAAGTGGGTGGGGTGAAAACGCCCTTTCCAAGAGTGGAAAAGCCAAGGAAATGTCTAGAAATTTTTATTTTTGTTTATAGGATTTACTGCAGAAACTTGACAAAGGCTGAAATAATTTCTATAGAGATTGGTCAGTTTTCTAGGGTATCATGGGCCAAGCTAATGGAGGGACAACTCACTCTGCATGTCCTTCTGCCTCAACCCTGAAATGATGACACCCTGTTTGCTTGTTGCCCACTCTCCATCAGGGTAACAGAAGCCCAGCTCTGTTCATCTCTGACTTCTGTCGTTAGCTATTGAACTCGATCTCTGTCTGTTAGCAGATATATTTCTGGATGCTAATTAAATTACGGTCTCTTTGTTCCCACATTTATACGACCAGCTTGTACTTTTATCATGGCAGAGGGCTAACTTGATCACAGCTACCAAGATGGAACCGCAGCTGTCCCTTATTACTTCAGTTTTGTTTTGTGTGTAGGGTAGTCTCCTTTCTGAACTCCATGAGAGCTTCTTATTAGAAGATATCCTTATCCACAATTTAATCTGTAACAGCTGAATTAGAAGAAAGACTGTATGAAAGGGCAACTGTGCCTTGTGTGTGTTCTGCCACTGATGCAACCTGCATGGGATTGATTGGTTTGGGAACAGGGGATGAAGAAATGACTGACACAAACAGAAAAGCTTAGAATATATAGACAAACAAGGATATGGGTTATCTCTACATGGGAACTGTCTAGGACTTTAGTCATCCCAGAGGAGAGAGCTGTGGTTGAAATGTGCACACACTGTCAACATCTGTACTTAGACAAGGAGGAGGCCTTGTCATTCCTGTGGGTTTGAGACACTTGGGTCTTCTGACATGACTGCACACATATCAAAAACATACATTCATTCTAGACTTATCCACTCCCCAGGACACTGGCCATCTGGCCTGCCAGTGGTGACCTCGCTACCTAGAGCCTATCTTTTTTCTTATCTAGCCATCATTGTTGTAATCCAGGCAAACCTGGCCTCACCTCAGGTCTCTTTCCCACTGTCCCTCTGAAAGCGAAGACAGGACTTTTCCTGTCTCCTTCTTCCCTTGTGTCCTCTCTGTATCTCTTTACCTCTTTTCTCTTTCCTTCCCTTATTTTCTCCACCCCCAATAAAACTTTCAATATGAGTCACATCTACAGGACTCTGTTTCCCATCCACCCACCATCCATCACCTGGGGACCTGCCACTCATGGTCCCAACCCATTGCACTGTGTTCCTAACAATAATACTTGTCTCATACTCAGCTGCAAGCTGTCGTTTTCACATTCCTCCACAGTTTTAACTTAATTGTTTTAACTTCAACCTCCATTTTAACCCCAATGTCTGCTTTGACCCTTATCTTTGTGATCAACAAGAAATCTTCACCAGGAGCCCCTTTCCCTTACTACCTGCAGTGAGATAACTCGTGCCTCAGTTCTATTCAGTTCTCACTATAATACTCTTGGCTAGAGTCCTTTTCCTTAGCTTTCATTAGCAAATTTTCAACTATAGACACATTAGTCCCTACATCATTAGCAATACATTAATATGTCCTTAAGAGCCCATAAATCAGTTACTATTTGGATAGTAAAGCATTTTTTCTCATCTTCCAGGATTATCATTAAGCTGATATCATAGAGATCAGTTTACAGGAACACAGCATCTGAATTTTACTTCATGAAGTATAGAGAAGAGATTTATATGGGACAAGATGACTTTAAAACTTCTCTTATGTGAAAAATTGTTTCAGGGCTACTTCAGATCTTCTCAGAAAAGTGGATCATAGGTCATCAGCTTCTCTTTTGACATTAATGCAGAAATGCAACTTCTGTTAGCAAATGTCAAATGCAAAGTGGGGACAGGGAAGGGCCAGAGCAAGTATCAGGTTCATCTGTCTTGAGAAGAATTAGCATCAAGAGGTAGATCTGCATTATTGGGTTTTGTGGGGAGGAAGCAACACTGGTTAACCAAGGCACAGGAAGGGAGGTTGCTGGTGTTGAAAAGCAGTCTAATTGAAATGGGGCCAAATTTCACAACACGATTAATCTGCATCTGGCTCAATTGGGACACTAGAAGAAGCTTCAGTGGCACTGTGATTCACCTGAATGTAATTTATGGGGAAAATAACTTAAAAGCCGTTTTAAATCCCAAAGTTGTCACGTCTGTAATTTTACTGCATCGCATTGACAATTTGTCATGAAAATAATGTTTTCTAGAATGTTAAGCCAATTCTGAGTCATGCGTATTCTGAACTGCATGATCATGTAGCTACACAATTATTATATTAAACAAGTAGGAAAAGCATTTTTTATATTTTGTTATTTTACCTGCATGAGTATTGTACCTATATCCATGTATTTGCCTGGTGCTGGTGGAGATTAGAAGGTATCAGATTCCCTTGGAACTAGAGTTATAGATGGTTGTTAGCCTCAGTATAGGTGCTGGGAACTGAACCTGGACCTCTGCAAGAGCAGCCACTGTTCTTAACCACTGAGAAATCTCTCCAGCCTCAGGAAATGCATTCTTTAAAATAATGAACTTTAACTCAAAATATTCTACTTTTATATCTTGGGTGCATGACATAATTTGTAACAGAAATAGCAGTTTCAGCCAAAGAAACTAAACTTGGGCATAGTTTCTATGCACTCATCATGAAGTGTATTTATGCTTGTAGGCAAAGGAGAGTAAATGATACATAACTAGACTGAACCCTTCAGGTCACAAACACTGTCACTTGTCTACTTGCATACAGAATTATGGACTACAAAATGAAATTTTTAGTTTTAGAAATAAAGAATGCTCTTCTTGGATATAAGCATTTTGCCTCTGCTTTTTCCTCTTCCTTTTCTAAGTGAGAAGTTTGTCTCAAAGGCAGATTTCAAAACATCTGAGTAGCCACTTGAGACTTTATGATGCTATTTGTGGTGCTCGGAATGAGATTGCTACCCACTTGGTCCCCACTTGATGCAACTGTTCAGGAAGGGTTAGGAAATGTGGCCTTGTTGAGGAGGCCTGTCCCTGGGAGTCAGATTGAGATTTCAAAGACTCAGTCCTATCCTGGTGTCTCTCGGCCTAGTGGTTTTATCTCAAGATGTGAGATCTTAGCTACAGCTTCAGAGGCAAGCCTGACTGTCTGCTGCCATGCTCATGCCATGTTGGCCACAGACTCTAACCCTCTGAAACCATAAGGCTCAAATTAAATGCTTTCTCTTATAAATTACCTTGGCCATGGTGTTTTATCACACCAATAGAAAAATAACCAAGACAACATTAAAAGGCACCACAGTGTTAGGGGTAGAGACTAGCGGGAGAGCTGTCGACTAGTATGTACAAGGCTGTGTGCTCAATCCACCACAAATAGCCAAATCATACCAAATGCTACCCACTTTTTTCAGAGTTTGTAATAATAAATTTTCTATAATGACTTAAAAAATTATTATACTTGTAGAGGCTGAGCTGGGTCAGGTGTCCAGGTACAAGTTTGGCTCTGCTTAGTATCTCAGAGACCTACAGTAAAGAGACTGCCTAGGTATGACTTCTCATCCAAAGTCTAGACTGAGAATTCTCTTATAAACTCCTGGTTACTGCCTGAGTGTTGTCCTTGTGGTCATATGATTTCAGTCATCTCATTTTTTCAAATCCATCAGTATAAAGGAAGGGAGAGGCCATAAGCAAGGCATAATCTTAAGCAATTCAGTTTAGTCATGGGTGATAGACCATAATCTTTGTTGTGTAACATGACCACTGAAATGTATTCCCATGGGCTGTACCAAATTATGTAACATGGGAGTGGCATCCTGACACTTGTACTGTGTGTCAGAATATAATCATGGAGTTCCATCCTATCAATGTGCATTCTGTTGGATGCAATACATGGCCTCCACCATCTAGAGGCAGGGTAGTTTTTTATTTATGTATTTTAAAGATTAATTTTGATTATGTGTATATGAGTGAATAGCACCTGTATGGACACAAAGAGAAGTCAGGTGTTGTATACCCTGAAGCTGATGTTGTAAGCAAGTAG